GAGGAGGTAGGATTTTGAGATGACAAATCGTGACGTGAGCGTTCATCGCGGCCATTGCCGCTATGACGACTATTCTTGTATGAAGAAGAAGAAGAAGAGGGACGATAACGATCGTCTTCGCGAGGTCTACGGTTATCATGGCTGTCACGTTCCCGCTTATAATCATTTTGGTATTCTCTTGTGCGCGAACGATCGCCCTGGAAATAACAAATTCATTCAGGTACGATTTTTAAGAATGTATTGTATATATTTATATATACAGATGCGATCAACTTATTAGCAACTAAATTCAAAATGATATTGATTGCAAATTATGTTTATGTATTTATTTTTAATAATTTTAATATAAATCTTAACTCAATCTAAAACAGAAATCACAATAAAAAAGTTTAACAGCTTGCACAAATTGCAAAAATTTTAATCAAACTTCAAAAAATTGTCAGCAAAATTTTTAATTAGAATATTTAGAAAATTTTCGGGTATGCAGTTGTAGCTCATTCCATTGTAGTATAAGAAAGTGCAAGTTTCTAGTCGTTAAAGATTACCGTTGATTTTTTGGATTTTTTTTTTTGTGGAGGGTTTTCGCATTTTCTGCCATAAAACACATGATCAAATTTTTTTTATATGAAAAAAAAAACAGCAACACCCTCCACAAAAAAAAATTCTAAAAAATTAACGGTAATTTTCAACGACTTGAAACTTGCACTTTCTTATACTACAATTGAATGGGCTACAAAACTGCATACCCGAAAATTTTCTAAATATTCTAACTAAAAATTTTAAAATTTTGATGGCAATTTTTTGAAGTTTGATTAATTTTTTTGCAATTTGTGCAAGCTTTTAAACTTTTATTATTGTGGTTTCTGTTATAGGTCAAATTATATTTTAAATGAAAATTATTAAAAATAAATAAACATAATTTGCAAACAATATCATTTTGAATTTCGTTGCTAATTTGTTGATCAGATCTGCATATATATTTAAGGAAAATTTTACCTTGTAGTCAAATCGATTATTATCTTTCGAGTGTCGTGTGTCCCTCGGCTCCCTTTCGTCTCGATGGTCACGTACAACGTCACGACTATCTCGTCTGTTATCACGGTTGTCACGCTGTTTGTCGCGGCTAGGCAATGCAGACGATGTAGACCTACTGGCGCTACCATAGGAAGCCTTCTGCCTTTGTGAATCCTGTAATATAAATGTTAGTACAAAGCACTGTAATATTAATATTTTGCCGAAGTATCTCTTTTTAATGTTATTTTTAATATAATTCTAAGCTTAAATATATCCACTTGATATCAGTTAAGTTTTACCCATTCCCATCGAAATTTTTAGGTATGTCGATTTTGTAAATAACTTTTCAAAATGTTTATATAATTAATCTAAAACCTGTAAGAAATAAATTACTGTTTCTTTTTGTTAATTTGGGTATACTCACGTTCAATTACAGCGCAACTCCTACACAGTAAAGTTACATATGTAAGTGTGTAATAGGAACACACATAGAAAAAGTCTCCTTCGAATTTTTATCGCATTCCTATAAAAAATGTTAAGGTTTTTTTTT